GATGACAACCGAGATGAATATCAAATTGGTGAGAGTATGTCCCCTGGCACTACTGCATTCTTTTTCCCTTTGTCTTGTCAACCATTAGCGCCTGAGTTATATTATAAAAACAGCACAGTAACTGGAGTCTTTAGTGGAGAATAATTTGTGCCCTCTGCCTGCCCCTGCCCAGTCTTCCTGTGAGTAAATTACGCGATAATAAATTCTATTATATTCTATGGAGTTGCCTGCTTCTTTTGGTCTGAAGATATCTTCTCATTACGGTGACATTACACCTTTGCCCCATCCCACCATCAGACAGGGCAGCTATATTCAGCGCAGGACCCAAATCAATTAATTACTTCATTGCTAGCTCATTGCCTACTAACTGTCAGGCTATAACACAAGAAAGAGCTAAGAGAGCTCGAGTTGGTTTGAGCCACAGCTAAAATATTTTGGGAGTCTGAAGGCAGTGGTTTGAAAAGAATAAAACTCTTTCATAATTTTGCTCCTTGTCAGAGTCAGAGCTATGAAGAAGCTAATTAAATTTAAGCTTCAGATTCCCTTCTGAGGCCCCGGGAGGGATCTTGCAATATGTTCACACAATCTTATGTTTTCAGATTCTGAAAAAGTAAGATATTTTAAAATTCTTTTTCTTAAAGAGGGCCCCCCAAATTGTATGAGCTTCAAGCCCCACAAAACCTGGATCCACCCCTGCCCCTTCAAACCCAAGCCCTTTAAGTAGTTTATTTAATCCTTGCGTCAACTCTATAATGTAGATTCTGTTGCTATCTTTTTTGCTACCCATTTACAGATGAGAAAACTGAGGCTTAGAGAATAGTCATTGCCCAAGAATTCACAGTTAATAGGTGATAGATCTGGGATTTAAAATTTATAGCCTGTCTCCAGAGCCTAGATCCTTAATTATAGTGCTTTCCAATGGTATGTATTTGTTTCTTATCCACCTTCCCCATCAATTACGGGGTTCTTAAGGATACGAAGACAAATCATTTGTATACTCCCAGCACCCAGCCCAGAGGGGACATCAACACATGTTAGTACATAGAAAAGAGAAAAATAGTCCCTAATAGCTGGGAGCTGGCCTGGCACTCATAGCTGGCTTTCGGTGTTCCCTGGCTGAACACAAATAATTTCGGAGAACATTCACGTCAGACAAGGTCACTCTGTGACCCTGATGGATCAGGGCACAAACAGGACAATTCCAGAATCATGTCTGGACAGACAATACATGAACACAAGGGACCAACCACCACTCTACCCTCATATAAGACACTACTGCTTCTTACTAATGACTGTTCTAACTTCAGTCATTGTCCCCCCTAGATAAGAATCACTAAAATCCCCAGTCATAGAGTTACCCCCATTTCCTGACAGCATCCAATCCAGACCAAAGCCCTGCTTCCTTAAACCCTCCCCAAAATCATCTAACAAAATCCCAGATCTTATAAGTCTTTTCTGCACCCTCTTTCTGAGATGCCCCCACAGTTTCCCATCATGTGCATTCTGCCTCCCTGAGTATCTAACTTATTCAATTACATGTATGTTTCTGATGGTCTTTGACAGGAATGGCATCAACACAGGAATCATACGTTGATGCCATTCCTGTCATTGAGCATTAAATATTATTGTCAAAAGTTACAAAATGTTGTTTCCCCCAAACTAGTTGATGATGATAGAAAGAAAAAACAGTGGTTTCCTTTGGGGAATGGGGATGAGTGGTTATAAATTGAAAAGGAAAATAAGGCAAACTTTCAGGGTATTGGAAATGTTCTACATCAAATTTTATTTTATTTTTTGAAGATTTTATTTATTTTTAAAGAGAGAAGGAGAGATACATTGAATCAATCATTTGCCTCTCACACGCCCCCAACTGGGGACCTGGCCTGCAACACAGGCATGTGCCCTGACTGGGAATCCAACTGGCGACCTTTCAGTTCGCAGGCCAGCACTCAATCCATTGAGCCACAACAGCCAAGGCTACAACAAATTTTAAAAGGGGGTGTTAAGCTGTACACTTAATATTAATGCACTTAACACACTTTGTTGTGTACATATAATACTTTGACTAAAAAAATTGTCCACCGACTTCAGCAGGTAGAGGGTGTTAACAAAAAATAAAGTTTAAGTTACAATAAAGATTAAAAAGCATTTGTTTGAGCACAGGAGGAATGGTAATCAGGGGGCACAGATTTAGGTAGAAACCTAAATTGTGCTCCAGAGGAAACAAAGATAGGCAGGGTTTATGAAGGGCAAAACAACACATGCGGTCCTCATTTTGGTCCTCCATGTAAGTAAAGGATGTCGGCTAGGTCGATTAGAATTGTTTAAGCCCATTATGTAAACTGAAGATGCAGGTTGCTGAAATGGATCTGTTCCTTTCAAGGTGAAGAATGCAGATGGTCTGATCACCATGATGAGGTGGGAGCAAGGTTCATATATGTCCTTGCAGCAAACATAGATCCAGATGTTTGTCCCGGCCTTGAGCTGAGCTCAGCAACAGGTCAGCAACTTAACAAAAACTCCAAGAACTGAGACATGAGATATACATAGGCCACATCCCCTCAATGACCTCCCAACTCCATTTTAAGTGACTCTCTTAGCACTGCTTATTCCATTTTCTTTTCTCCATTATCAGGGGGAGAACAGGAAATCCAAAGCTGGTCACTCAAATACCAGCTTAAAGTAACAGCAACAAGGTAAAGGCCAGACTGGGATTGTAGTAGACTAGAAGTGAGTGTCAGGCCATTGGATGAGACCTACGTTGAAAAGTTAAAAAATCAACCGCTTGCTGAAAACTTAAAGCATTTGGATGTTTATACCAGAAGAGATTCAATTGGAAGGAAATACAATTGAACTCAAGTATTTTATTTTGCAGCACAAAATAGTGCGGACCCAAGGCAGATCTTTCTAAGAGTGACAAAAGAGGTAAAGGAAGCTGCAACATCCCCTGTTTCTGGGAACTTTATTTTTTGATTTTTTAAAAGAAATTTAAAAAATTTTTATTTATTTTCTTTTAGAGAGAGGGGAAGGGAGGGAGAAGGAGAGGAAGAGAAACATGAATGTGTGAGAGATACATGGATTGGTTGCCTCTCACATGCCTCCAGCTGGGGACCTGGCCTGCAACCCAGGCATGTGCCCTGGCTGGGAATAGAAGCCGGCACTCAATCCACTGAGCGACACCAGCCAGGGCTGTTTCTGGGAAGTTTAAAACTCAGCGGCCAAATGTCACCAGCATGGCCTGGTCTAGAGCAGAAGACAGAGAAACAGTCTCCAGCTGCCCCTTTCGAGACTCGGGACGCTGGTTAGTCCTGAGCGTTCAAGGCCAGCCGTATAACGCCAATTAATTAATCAAAGGGAGCTACCCTCTGCTCTGCACTAAGCTTTTTATGTTTTGCCACCACTGCCACCAACCACAGCTTTAATTAAAGCTAGGGCTTAATTACCACAGTGCAGTGCTGCCATCACCCTCTCCTGATGACTTCATCTTGGTTCCTGGAAGGATGGTGGCGGCGGCAATGTGTCAGGAGGAGAGGTGAGCCTAGCGGAACCGAAAGCATGGACTCTGAATACTGGTGATTTGAGGGAATGCGGGGTTGGTGGGTGGAAGGATCAGCTGTAGGACTCAGCACCTGACCTGAAGTTGCTCACAATTTATTGCAGAGTTAAGACTTCCCGCCTAGGAGATGGTACAAGGCAGTGTGAGGTAAGCCTGCAGATGAGAGGCACACACAAATAGCCCAGCAACTGAGCAGAGGCAGTGGTCCTTTGGGACTGGGGGAATCAGAAAAGCTTCATGGAGAGAAAAGGAAGACCTAGAGGAATTTTCAAGGAAGAACAGCCTTCGACAGGACACCAGGCAGGGCAATGTACCTAGTGGAGGGAAGAACATGAATATGTCAGTAACAATAAGAACCTGGTGCATCCACACAACGGTGAGGAGGTCATTGTAGCTGGGAGCAAAGCAAGGCAGAAGAGAAGGGATTCCTGTCAGAGATGAGCATGAGCAACACTTTTGGAGAGGAAGGTGGGGGGCCAGGTTGGGGAAGGCCTATGAATGCCAGGCTGAAAAGTTGGGACCTCATTCAGTAGATAGTAGGAAGCCAATGAAAGTTCCAAATTTCTTATGGAAGATTACAAGGCTCTTGAGGATGCTGTGCTCCCTGGGTCTCTCTCTCCATTCCATCTCCCACACTCCGCAGTCCAGCAAAGTGTAAAACATTCTTCACACTCCCTGTGCACCTAAGTTCTATTCCTCCAGTTTTCAATCTTAACTTCTCTGTAAGATCTCTAAGAAGCCTTGCCGACTCCGTTTCCCGCTACGCAGGTGCCACCTTTCAAAGTTCCTACAATCCCCGGCGTTTCCCCCCTTAGAGTACATATCACTGTGTTGTCATTATTCACTTAGTGGAATCCTTTGCTAGGCAGAATTATTTCGAGGTTGGGAATATCATCTTGTTCACCAATGTGTCCCTAAGAACCAGCATAGGGTCAGGAAGGTGAGGGCAGTTGAAGGGGCTGGGGGACGGAAGGACCGGTAACCTCTCATATTTCTCCTGGTTCCTAGAGGACAATGGAAAAATCTGTCAACGGGTGAAGACTGGTAGGTGATACACTTTTAATTTGAATAATGTCTCATTCTCAAAGGCAACAAAACTGCGGGGGGACACGAAACAATTCCAACCTCCTCCTTCCTCTCCGTAAGAATAAAGTAAAACCACGCTAATTTCCTGGCACGTCTGGGAATTATTTAAGGAACGGTGAGGCGGCAGGTTGCTAACGGGACTACATGCAGAAACCTCCGCTCCAGTGTAGTAATCGCGGCGGCGGCTCCTTGACCACCAGGGGGAGGAATCGCACCGCCTCGCGGACCTTGGGCGGTTTCACCCAGCAACAAAGGGCCGCGTAGAACTATGGGAATTGTAGTTCTGGGGTCGAAATCCGCAATCCTGAACGGGGCACCACGGGAATTATAGTTCGGGACAGAAAGGCAGGAAATGCTTTTAAGCACCAGTGTTGAGTACTAGAAACTACAACTACTAAAGGGCCACGGGCTCCTAAGCAGTTTTTCGTTTCCGTCGAGGTGACCGTCGGGCTGTTTCTGAGAGGTCAACTTGACGGGGTAAGTTTGATAGGGGGAAATCTTCTGTCTTGAACTGGGGTGCTTGAGACTCTCAAATTCCTGCCCGGATTGATTTTCCTCGTCTTATCTCAGGAACTTCACATAAATCTCTCGTCCTTTCTGTTTCCTATTGAGACACCTCCAGTACCCACCCACTTTCTTAACTCTCCCCCTGTCTTCAGCCTTCACTCCCGGAGCCCCTGGAATCCCACCCTGCTCTCTCGTCTTAGGACCCAGCCCCTACAACCCCACCCTGAGCTCACGGCTTCACCTCTCCGAAACCTGGACTTTAGAAGGCGCCACACCTTCCAAGCGCTTCACTCTTACCCTCACTGCTGTTTTTCATGCTAGTGGAAGAAGGCTCGCTACTACTCCGTCCGCGGAAAAGCCTAGTCAGGCCTGCAAGTCGGCAGAAACGCGCTCTAGTCCAACGCAACAGCTCACTCGCTCTGTGACCTTGGGCAAACCACACTTGTCTGGGACTCACTCTCTTCATCTGCAAAATGGAGATGACAGTTGCTCTGTCACTCTTAGGATGAGGCTGTGTTGTGCAGCCAATAAGCTAATAATGTGTGAAAGTGCTATGTAAACTGTAAAGCCTCCACAAGCGAAAGAGATTATTTTTATTATAATTATTAATGCTCTGGAACAATCTTATCTTGGCTCCTTTTTTAGCTCTGCCTCCTTGTTGCTCAAGCCTGTCCCCTGAGTGCTTGGTGTCTCCACTCTTTTAAGAGTAGGATATTTCCTCACTTCCTCCAGAGACCAAAGGTCAGGCTAATGCGCTTTAAGTCTCCAGAGAGCTTTGCCTGAAAGGCAGTCCCAGAGAAGTGCTTATCTTGGACTCTGTCCTGAAATAGCCAGTGATGAGAAGTCCACACAGCTGGTAGAAGGGAAGTTTCTGCTCACTGGAAATAGGACCCCAGCAGGAGACAGACAGCTGCAGCATAAGCCCTATTCATTCCCTCTGGGCTCTTGTAGGCCTGTTTAATATACTGTGGTTTTAGTAGGGGCGTCTCAGGCCGGAAAAGGCTGGGGGGAAAGAATCTATTTTGCTAAAGAGATTAATCCAGGAAAAATCAAAGAGGCTTTGGCTAGGTATGATAAAGGGAGACACAGCATTGTTAATTAATTCCTAACATTTTGTGAGCACTTAAAATGTACTAGGCCCTAGGCAATATCAACTTTCTTACTTAAATTTTACTCTGTTCCCATTTTACATATAATGAACTTAGGCTCAGAGAGGTTATAAATAGAGCTACTATCTATGGTTATAGTGCCTTCTATATATCAGGTGCTTTACATGTATTATTTAATCATCAACAATGAGCAATATTATTTCTGTCATGCTGATAAATTATCAGAAGCTGAGAATTTAAGGGGCTTGCTCAAGATTATACAGCCAATTAACTGGCAGAGGTGGAATTTAGACTTCAAAGACTTTCCTCACTATAACATATAGCCTTATTTTTAGATAAAAAGACAGATTGAAGAATTGAGGGGGGTTAAATAAAAGCCAAATGAAGGAACATTTATTGGGTCTCTACTATGTGGGGAAAGCATGAAGATAGATGGTTTGGCCTACAAAGAAGTACAAAATACAGTCTGTAGTATATCTGAAGAGAGGGCATAAGTGTGAAAAAAATTAAATAGCATTTATTGGATAACTTGATTATTATTGCAAGATACTACATTAAACCTAGTGACTAGCAAGAATCATGGGATTAAATCCCTCTGGTGGCCATGGGATTAAACCATCTGAGATCATAGCCATCATTTCATTAATATGAAAGTGAACTGAAACACCATATGAACATAGTGGAATGGAACACTCAGTAAATACCGCATGCACGCGTATCTGAATAAAAGAAGAATCCTGTGTACCATCTGGACCAGGGGTTCTGAAACCTCGTTGATTGGAAACACTAGCAAGCTTTTAAAAATTACCTGAACTCTGGGAATGGGGACCCTAAAATCTATTTTTTTGAAAAGTTTCCCAGGTGATTGTGATGATAGGTTCAGAAACCTCTGATCTTGATTCTACTAGGACCATTTGTAGGCAAGACATTGATTGAAAGCTGCTAGAATAGTACTAATCTAAGAACTGTCATAAGGCAGCCTGTGATTGGTTACCTGGGGCGATGCAGACAGTGCTTAGAGTTGAGAGGAGGAAAGGTTGGAAGGACTTGGGAAAGCTACAGAGAAGACCAGAGATTTCATGGGGCCTTAGTGAATGGAGCAGGCTTGGAAGGGCAGAGAGTCTTCTAGCCTGGCACCACCATGAACTGCTTAGATAAGGTGAGCAAAAGACAGTAGAGATACCTGGGCTGATTTCCTTGGAAAATTCCGTAGCGTTTACTCGGAATGACTCTGGAGGCTCTGTGTGGGTGTTCCTTAGACAAAATTTGCAAATCAGATTGGATTTTTCCCCGTTCTACCTGGGCACCAGTCAATGTGAACCCAGGGAATGCAGATTCATTTTCATGTTAGCCTCACTGTGAACAATTAGCTTCTTTAGTTTTTCTTTACAAACAATTTAGTTGATAATCTTTGTAGGAACTTCCCAGGACTCCCAAAGGGTTCTACTCTTATTTAGCTGTTTTTAAGTTCACTTATTCTGATTCCAAACCCAAACATTGTTCTCTGTGGGGTAAGACCAGAATCTCTTCCCATAAGAAACTGTTATCATTCTACCCAATTCTGAAACCTGACTTATCATTGGCTCTTCTTTCCCCTGACTCCCCAAATCCTCTCAGTTGCCAAATCTTATTTCTGCCCTTCACTCAATAACGGATATTTTCAGGGTACTTCCTAAGAGCCAGGTTGTATACTAGGTGCTTTAAATGCATTATTTCATTTTATATCCAGAGCGACCTTATAACGATGGATAGTATTCCCATTGTACAGATGGGGAATCGGGCTTAGAGAGATCAGATAACTTGCCCAAGGTGAGAGAGCTAGGCAGTGATGGAGCTGGTGCTCAAACTTGAGGTTTTCAGACTTCGTCTCTCTCCTGTCTACGATCTCATTTCCAGGGCCGATTCCAACTTCTTAATCTAGTGCTGGAGGGACCACCACTCTCCAAAGCTGGTCACACCTTCCATTTCTCACCTGGCACCTATTACTGACTATTCACTTTTTCTCATGTGTGCTTTCTCACCTCTGTGCTTTTGCTCACCTTCTACTTGAAAGTCAGCTTTTTCCATTTTCTCCTCCACTCCCGAGCTAAAGGAGCTCTCTTCTCAGAACTCCAGTATCTTTTCTGACCCTATTTTATGACAGAACCTTCTGCTGCTTCGTTGTCATGTGGGTGACATGTGTCTTGTGTCCCAGTGTAGGTCTTCCTTTTGTATGCCGCTAAAGACGAGGGGAAAGGTCAGGGCCTGAGACTAAGCAGCACACCTTCAGTTTTCCCCTGGCTAAACAGTCTGCTGACTGCATCAGGAGCTGAGCTTAGATTCTTAAAAGAATTGGGTGTCCTTGTAAATTTGCTTCAGAGAAGTAAGATGAAATCTCTGGTAGGAAGAAAATCATTTATTACCTTCCAAAGTTAAATTGAATGACATTAGGATTATCGGTTGTTTGGGGTTTTCCTCTGGGCCAGGTAGTTGGCAATCAGGAGATATTAGTGTAATAATAGTTGTGCTTGTGACCTTGAGCTGCTCGCTTAACTATGTAGGACCTTGATTTCTCCTTCAGTAAAGCGCATGCATTCAGTATGTACTAGGCCAGTGGGGAGGTGGGGGGAGGGTGGAGAAGATTGTCGGGGGGGTGTTGACAGAAATGATCTCTAAGGTCTCTTCTTGCCCAGACATGCTTTGACTTGAACTCTTATCCAACTCAGAGCATCTTAGAGAAAGCAGAATAATGTAATAATTAAAAATGTGGGCTCAGGGCTCAGTGTTATCAGTTTAGATGCTTTTGGTTCAAGCAATAGAAATCTAAATTTAGTGATTTCAATAAAAAAGGGGATTTATGTAACTTGAAAGTCTAGGATTGGGTCAGGTTTCAGGTATTGTCTAATCCAGAGATTCCTAATGTCTTCACAAATATGACTATTTCTCCGATTTTCTTAGCTCTGCCATCCCCTGCGTGTAGCCTCATCCTCAAGGTAGCAAAGTAGCTGTAACAAACAGTTCAAGGCTTCATGTCTGCCCATCACTCTAGTTCACACAAGAAAGAGCTTTTCAACCCTTAACCGTCAAACCAAAGTCCTGGGCTTTACTCTTATTGGACTAACTTGGGTCATCTAAACACTCTTCATCTGAATACTGACCAGCAGATACAAAGGACTGGTTGGCTCGGGTCAGTTTAGGCCCAACTCTGGAGGTTAGGGATGGGTCAGCCACAACCAAACCACAAAGCTTTTGTGTCAGAGGGCAAGATATATTGAGAAGTCTGATGATGTTCTCCCCTGTTACAGCCATACTACTCATGATAAAATTCTGGCTCTGCTAGCTGTGTGTTCTTGGGTAAACTTCCTGACTTTATCAAGCATCATTTCCCTCATCTGTAAGATGAGATAGCAGTAAATATCTCAGAGGGTTGTTGAAAGCATTCAATTAAATAATATATGTAAAGCACTTAGTGTAGTTCCTGGCACAGAATAAGTGTAGTGATGATGGTGGTGCTGGTGGTGCTGAGATTGAAGAGGGATACAGAGCAATGGCATTGGCCCCAGAGTAGGAAGCAGCCAAGTTACAGGAATGTTTGCAAGTCTGAAACATGCACAGCTGCCACGTTGAAGGCTCCTGTTTGAGCTACTGCCTCCATCGCACTCTTTCCTATCTCTACCACTTGGCTCTTACATTATGTCCTGTCTGGAAATGCTTTCCTTTTTCTTCCCTGCCTCTAAGTCTTCCTCAGTTTCAAGGCCCAGCCTAAATGCCATATTTATAGTCAATAGTTTAGGTCAGTGACTTTGTAAGTATACAGCTGGCCCTTGAACAGTGCAGGAGTTGAGCGTGCTGACCCCTCACGCAACCAAAAACCCATGCATAACTTTTGACTCCTCAAAAACTTAACTACAGCTGTGCCTTAGTATCTACAGGGGATTGGTTCCGGTACCCTCCCCTGCCACAGACACCAAGATCTACAGATGCTCAAGTCTCTTATATAAAATGGTACAAACAGTGCATACAGTCAGCCCTCAGCATCTGCAGATTCCCAAGCACAGGTCAAAAATGCTGTTTTTGAACCGCTGTTGATTGAATCTGAAGATGTAAAACCCAGAGAAATGGAGGGCCAACTATATATTTATTGAGAAAAATCCATGTATAAGCAGGCCTGTGCAGTTCAAATTCATGTTCAAGGTTCTACTGTCTCCCCATGAGCAGGATCAATAAGGGTTAAGAGCTCAGGTCTGGGTTAGACAGACCTGGGTTTTGCCACCTATAAGCAGTGTGACTTGGGAAAGTTATTCAACCCCTCTCTACCTTAGTTTCCTCGCCTCTAAAACAGGGTCTTAATTAACTAAGTACCTTCCTCAGAGGGTTTGTTGAGAGAACGAAATGATGCAGTATATATAAAGGTCTTAGTTCAATGCTGACACAGTACGTAATAGACCTAAGTAGTTATTATTCTTTGCCTCATGAGGACAAGGTCTGCGTTATATTCTCTGCAGCAGTTACTGCTGTGCTGGGCACAGAGTAAGCACTTAGTGGGTTTTGAGAAGCATGCAAGCTGTCTCTGCCCTTTACAGACATCTCCCCACTCCCTCCCCCAACAACAGGAAAAGCAGCCCCTAAGCCTTGGCAAAGGCAGTGTAGCAAAGCAGATGAGGTGAAAGACTGAATGAGTCACTGGAGGGGAAGATGGGGTGATAAGGAAGGGTGGTCAGGGATGACAGATGACACATATAAGCAACAGGAAGCTAAGAGGGAACCAGAAAGAGGTTGTTCTGTGTTCTACCCTCCAGCCCAAGTCGTTGTTTGATGCAACTGGTGATGAGATGGGGGTCAACCAGTCCGTGGGCTTTCCACCTATCACAGGACCCCACCGTGTGGGCTGCGGGGATGTGATGGAGGGCCAGGGTCCCCAGGTAAGTGTCTGCAGCTCCACCCCTGCACCTCTGCACTGCTTCTGCCCACACTGTGACTCACCAATAGCTGGTGTGCCGGTGCAATTCCAGGCGGGGGAAACGGAGATAGAGCTGGTCTGGATTTGGTTATGGAGCTCCCGGGTCTGTCCTCCCTGACCTTTTCTTTCCTCCTTCCAGTTAGAAACCTCTCAATAAAGATAATGAGTTCTTCTTCCAGTTCGGAGGAAAGGGGGCTCTGGCTTCAAAGGCGGCTTTCAGATCCTTTCACCCGTCTTGAGAGCAGATGCTGGATCCTGGAATGGTTATTGATCTCATACTAATCCACGTCTGTGAGGCGAAGAGCAGTGGACCATGTGTCGTTGGCCTGTGACTCCCAACCTGGAGGGGAAGACAGTCTCCTTTTTGTCCTCTCCTGCCTTTATTTCTTTTCCTCTCCTGATTTAGTTCCAGAATTTTCCTCCATCAGTTTCTAGGCTCCTTCTCTGCTGGCCCTTGGATGCCCCCCCGCCACCCCGCCTCACACCTACTTGTGAGAGGCACGTACTTCCTGGTAACCTCTTACCTGCTCCTGGGTAAAAGGAGTGTACTGCTGCTTCCCCAGGGCCAGCCTGGAGGTGACTCACTGATGCCACCCCATTCAGCATGTGGGCTAATCTCTCACTCCTGGAGTTCCTCGAGGCCCAGGATCGGGGCCAGATTTAGATCTTTCAATGTCCCAAGCACTGAAAGTATTTTGGTGCCCCCGCCCCCTCTCCCCGCCGATGCAATTCAAAATACAGTTGTCTATTTGAAATACCATAAGCTTTATGTGTATCCTAAAAAAAAAACAACAAAAAACAAAAAACTTTCTGGATTTTCTGAATGCAAAATTCAGGTATATGAATTGAAGGTAAAGTTGCCTCATTTTGATGCTTCACCAGTGCCCCAAACACCTACTGAACATGTCTGTCAGGAGATCTAGCAGTGCGTGGGCGTCAGGCTCTGAGCTGCTGCTCTCTTCTTTCTTCCAGGGGAGCTTCTTCCGACTCTTCTACCCCTGCCAGGAGGCAGAGAAGACCCTGGAGCAGCCCCTGTGGATACCCCGCTATGAGTACTACACTGGCCTGACCAATTACCTACAGTTAAATAGTCGCTGGTGGCGTTTGCTGTTCAACCTGGCTGTGGGTAAGAGCTGGCCTCACCCCTAGATGCTTTCCCAGCTTCTTGGTTATGTTCCTAGGGGGTCCCCAGGCAGACACAGTGCCTTATAGCTTGCATTGTCCAGCGCTTTTGTAGTGGGGCATCCATTAGCCAGCACGGTGCGGAGAGTGGGGAGAGAATTATACAAGCTTTTATTGTAGAGTGAGACTGCCCTGGATCTGAGTCCAGACTTTATTGTTTACTACCTGTAAGACTTGGGCAAGCTATGTAACCTCCCTGAATACCTGCCTTTGCAGGCTTCTCTGGGATGTATGTAGAGCCTCTACTGTGGTATAGGACAGAGAATGTGTTCCATAAATGGTGGCTATTACTCATTTATTCGGCACGTAATCCCCACTCTGTGCCAGTTATGTAGTGCAAAGAAACATTAACTGCCAAAGGGCATGCTGTCTCCTGCAGTTCCCCTCCAGCTCTCTGCTCCGCTGGGTAGGGTCACATTGAATCATCCACCTTCCCCAAAGGCCACACCATTAGGAACTCTACCCACTGCCTTGGCATCCCAGGGATTTACCCCCGAGTTGTTCAGTACTTCCCATTTGGATTTATCTTCCCCATTTTCTATTGTGTTCATGCTTTCTAGAAGAGAAGAGGGGAACAAAAAGATGATTGATTTCCCTGGGCTGCTCAGGGGTACATGGTGGTCCTCCAGAAAGGAGGGACATGTGTTCCCACACTTGCCTGTGCCCAGGCTGCCCTTGGGATTACAGCTTGGGGGCAGCCAGCGATTCTATTGCCTATATCTCTGCTAGGGTCTTGTCGCCTGCCTGTTAGCTGGAATGGCCCCCTTAAGACCAAGGACTCTGGATACCCCTTGATCATCTTCTCCCATGGCCTGGGAGCCTTCAGGTAAGAGCTTCTCTCCCTTAGACCTTGTCATATTCCTTACCTGGTGACAGCTGCTGAGTCTTAGTCTCAAAGGCCAGAGAAACAGACATTTCCATCTGCCAGCTGTATTACCTACCATCTGCTTCATTCCATAGTGTTGGGCCCACCTTTTCTCAAAGGTATTTCCCAAGCTCCTATCACCTGGCAGAGCCTCTCCGCAGGCTTCACATCCTTCACTTTTCATGTTCCAGCATTTATATAGATCAACATGTTTAGCTTTCTTCCTATATAATAGCCAAGAACTATTAGAAGCTTGAGCGGTATAGTCAGAGAGTCATTTATTCAACATATAGTGAAGATAACTCTGCACTGACGTAGCAGCGAATGAAAGACTCACTTCTTGCCCTTGCGGAGTTCTCAGCCTCACCTTTACATCTCAGCCAGACCCCCTGTGCTCTGTGTGAGCCTGGGACAGTTGTAGCGCTCTGAGCCTAGATTTCATCATCTGTCAAAGGGGGATGCAGCCCCCACAGGGTGGTTTGGGAGGGTTCAGTTAGACTAGCACCTAGTACAAGTGCACATGCAGTTCTCTTCATTTCTACCTGGAGGAACATGGGTTTGTGAACTGTAAGATCTCTTTTACCAGACTTCAGGAGGCTCTTCCTAAGTTGTATGTGTCAATATCCAGTCAGTATCATGAAATGAATTCTGATTTCTCACCTTGGTGAGTTACTTATCTTAATAACTGTAGTACATATGCTCCTATTTAAACTTGTGAATGTTCTCTATGTTCATTCAACATATTTCAGTCTAGTTTATGTACCAGAATGTTACACATCTCAAAGGCATTTATTTTTGCCTCCCCACCTCCCAAAACATTGTATACACTGTAGCTACAGAGTCCTACTTTAAAACCAAATATGATCTTGTCATTCCAGCATCTGGAACAGTGCCTGGCAGGTAGTAGATGCTCAGTAAATATTTATCGAATGAATGAGTGAACTTCCCTACTAGCTCTTTGTACTTAATTCAGCTTCTTTCAAGGTCTTACCTGGAGGCATGTCCTAGACAAAGTTTCCAGCCTCATTTCTTGCTACTTGCCCTACTCCAGCTCCCAGACAAACTGACCTTCTTTCACTTCCATAAGGCACTGTGTTATTTTCTGCCTCAGGGTTTCATCTGTGCTGTGCTTTGGTGGCTGTTCCCTTTACCTGGAATGTATGAGGTCTGTCCAGAAGGTATCCAGCCATGTACTATGAAAAATAGAGACATTTATTGAAGAAGATAAAAGACACAAGAAACATTGTGCATAGGACAGTGACGCTCAGTCCCCTTCCATATAGGCACCTTGGGACCTCTCCCAATCACTATCAGCTGCCCCGTCATATTTTCCTGTACTTCACTGATGGTCTGAAATCTCTTCCCTTTCAAAGGTGATTTTCATTTTGGGAAGAGCCAGAAGTCACAGGGCGCCAAATGTGGGCTGTAGAGGGGGTGAGTCACCTGGGTGATGGGATGTTTTGCCAAAAAACTGTACGAGACGCGATGCATGAGCAGGCATGTTGTCATGAGGAAGCTGCCAATCACCACCAGTTGCCCACAGCTGCGGCCTTCTGAATCATCCAAGTAGTTTCCACAAAGGATTGTTCAAGCTTAACTTAAAATTTGACGCAGATTCAGTGCTCTACTCGCCCAGTCATTTTGAATGCGATGGCCACACAGTGCACATGCTCACTCAGGGGCGTCTACTGCCCCCACTGACTAGTACAGTGAAGTCGTCATTGTCCATGCTTTCACATTCCAGCCCACTCTCCTTGGCTGCCAGGGTACATCAATGTGCAAACGATTCTCGTTATGTTAACAATGGCTGGACTTTTTCTGGACAGACCTTGTACTTTTCTCCTCGCTTTCTCTTCCCTCTCTCCCTCTTTTGCCTAGCTAATTCCAAATTACCTTCAAGGTCTTAGTGTGGATGTCATTTAGTTAGGGACACCCATCCTGACCCCTACATTGTATTAGGTTGAATTTTCTAGTAATGTACTTTGATAAGACAATCGATACTCTCAGTACTTAACATAATTGTAATGAATTAACTATTTGTATGACTATTATTTAATGTCTGCCTTTTCCACTCAATTGTAAGCCCCATGAAGACAGAGACCATGTCTTCTTTGTATCTCTCCCAGTGTACAGGGCAGTACCTGGGCAGTAATTGTTTCCCAATAAACATTTATTGAATAAATACAAGGGCTTTGTTTCTAAAGCTTCTCATTCATTCAGAAAATATCTGTGGAGGACCTCTCTGTGCCAGTCTCTTGGCATGAGAGGAAGGTGAGACATACAGAGATAAACAAAACAAAAAATTCACATTCACTATAGAGGAGCCTAAATATGGACTCGTGTAACCATGGCCCATGGCAGGGAGAGAAGAGTTGATGTGAGATGAGGCCAGAAAGACAAGAGGATGGTTTCAACACCACTTTCTTACTCAATAAATTTAGTATCTGCTGTGTGCCAGGGCCTATGCAGGGTTGGGTATTCTGTAGTGAATAAAATAGAGTACCTCCTCTCAGAAAGATAGTCTAGCGGGGAAGGAAGCTAAGAAACATTTTCTCCTAAGTTCACAGGTATTTTTTACAGAGAGCAGGTGAGCATATGACTTTAGAGAGTGGTCTTTTTCATCTAAGCATCTATATTGAAACTTCACACCTCAGTAGGCTTGGGTGAGCCAGTTATAAATAAATACTCATCATTAACCAGAGCAAAATTCAAAGAAAAGGGGAGGGTTTCTTTGGTAGTGTCTGGTTAATTCAGGCTATGAGATCTTTCGTGTGGGTCCTAGACTCATGACTCTCCATGCCATGGATAGGTATGTCCACTTAAACACTACCTAACCATTGGCACTGTGCCGTTACCTCCTTCGGTTTCCACACAGTCCTTTGGGGTAAGTAGAGGGATACATATTTTCCAGGTGAGCAGACAGGCTCTGAAAGGCAGACTTGCCCAAGGTTACACAGCTTGACCTAGAAAGGGATCAGAAATCTCTTTTATTTTTAGTACATTGCCTCCTAGGAGAAAAAGAAACTTAAGAAACTGACCTCGTGAATCAGTTAGGTTCAGGGAAGTTGTATTTAACAGAAAAACCCGAAATAACAGTGACTTAAACAGTGTTGATGTCTTTCGCAGATAAAAGAAATGTAGAAATAGACAGGGCTGATATGGTAGTTCCATGAAGCTATCAGAGAAGCTGACATTTTTTATCTTGCTCTGCCCTGAGTGGCTTCCATTTCTGAGGATATCTCATGACCCAGGGTGGCTGTTTTAGCTCTGGCCATTACATCCACATTCTAGGCACTAGGAAGGGAACACTCTCCTTTTTAAGGAGATTTCTTGAAGATCTGTATAACACAACTGCTTACATCCCATTGACTAGAGCTGCTCTGTCCATTTTAGTAGCTTCCAGCCACATAAGGCTATTGAATGTTAGAAATGTGGCTGGTCCAAACTGAGATGTGATGTAAATAAGAAATACACACTGGATTTCAAAGACTTCATATTTAAAAAATTAATAAAATATTACGTTATTTTTTAAAATTTGTATTTATTTTGTTGAAGTGGTCATGTTTGGCTACATTGGGCTAAATATATTATTAAAATTTCACCTTTTTTTTTACTTTTAAAAGTATATCTACTAGAAAATTTTAAATTACTGAAGTTAGTATTATATTTTGATTGCTGGGCTAGAACTTAATCACACAGACAACCTGGCTATAGGAGAGGCTGGGAAATGTCATACTTTGAAGGAATGACAGCATCTTTAACTCAAAATCAGATTCTGTTATTAAGGAGGAAGGGGAAAGGTGTTCGGAATGGGCAGTTGTCAGTGTCTGCCATATTTCCTTTTTTTTCTGTAAAGTTGGAGGACAGACAAAAATTCCACATGCTAAATCACAGATGCATATTTGCATGATAAAGACATAGAGTCCTTCTCCTCAAGGTGCTAACCAACTCATTTGGGAGACATACGATATAACAATAAAGATGCAACTGTTGAAGTAGCCAAACTGTATTGCAGGGATGGAGGGGTGTTTGTGGAGATGAGAGTCAGTGTACAGACTTGCAAAACACTGTGGATTGGCTTGTACATGCTTCCCAGAGGAGGACACTTGGAGCCTTGGTGAGAGCAGGGATAGTCTGGCTGAAGAAAGCACCCTGAGAAGGGCTTTTACAAATGAAACTACCCCCATTCAATCTTTTGAAATGGTCACTAGCAGAGACTGGTTAGTATGGGGACTAAGGGTGGGCCATTTTTCTGACGACTTTTCTCTGTTTCTTCCTGAATCTCTAGGACAATGTATTCAGCATTCTGCATGGAGCTGGCCTCCCATGGCTTTGTGGTTGCTGCATTAGAGCACAGGTGAGGGATGACAGTCTTAGGGGACTGCCATGGATTGGGTGCCTGCATTGGGCTAGGATATAGGCTAGTCCCCTAAACCTCAAGACATGCAAGTATCATATCTATTTTAAAGGTGAGCAAACCAAGGTTCAAAGATGTTAAACTATTATACTTGCTGAAAGTGACACAGCTGAGTTGGGGGTTCAAACCTAGATCAGTCTCCAAAATCTATGTTTTTTCTACTTTCCTATCCATGCTTCCAGATCTTTTTCCCTATTAGCCAAAGGATGGCCCAGAGTGTCTTGGCTGAAAAGGAGGATTTGGTAAAGGGGAGAAACAAGCTCAAGGTGTCTTCTGGTTTCTCTCTGGTGGCATGTGTATTTCAGGGATGGGTCAGCTGCAGCCACCTGTTTCTGCAAGAAGACCCCAGAAGAGAACCAGCCCACCAATGAGTTGCTGGTGGAGGAATGGATTCCCTACCGCCAAATTAAGGAAGGGGAGAAGGAATTTCATGTTCGGAATTGCCAGGTAGGCTTGTGCCAATTGAGGAAAAAGAATCAATTAAGTCTGTCCTCCTTATACTACATTCACTGAGAAGACTTATCTGACCTTCTTTCTTGAAATCTCAGTCTTAGCGAATCTGAGCTTGTGAAGTCAGTAAGGAGAAATGGGGTATTAATCAAGACTCTTTATAATTGCAAGGGACAGAAACCCAACTTAAGCTTGCAAGGCAACAAGGAGAATTGATTGACTTATGTAAGTGGACTTGTAGAAAGGGCAGGTCCACTGGAACCAGACTCAAATGCCATTAAGATTTGTTTTTCCTTTTCACCCCTGTGTCCTTTGCTGATTGGTCTCTGTAGACTGGCTTACTTTATGAAGTTAGAACCACAGTTCTTGACAGTTCTGAGCTTGCATATGTTTGACCTCACCATCTGAGAGAATGGGGTTTTTTAGAGGTTGCTCCCCCAACCCCTAATCCCTGCCCCAAGATGCAGTATGAAAAATCTGGGAGTGAGACTCATAGGCTGGGGAGAAGTGCCAAAATGGGAAGTTCCCATCAGAAATACACTGTTAAATTTTTTCTTTTTGCAGGGTCAGGGGTAGTCCTCAAAGGCAGGGCTAACCAGAGAAGTGGGGTGGGTAAGTGCTAGGCAGACAAAAACAGTAGATGTGGGCAATAAATGGGCAAGTAAAGTCTAATACTGGATTAATAATAAGAGCACCGTTATTTCCTTTTCTTTTTCTTTTTTTAAATTCTCGTTCGAGGACATGATTACTGATTTTAGAGAGAGGAGAAGGAAGGGGGAGAGAGAGAGAGGGAGAAACATCAATCTGATGCCTCTCGCACATGCCCCGACCCGAGTTGCCTCATAGCGCTCTGACCAGGCGCCCCATGACACGGTTCTGAACCCACAACCTAAACATGTGCTCTGACCAGGAATCAAACCCACCAACCACCCTTTGGTTTACAGGACAACACTCCAGCCAAGTGAGCCACACTGACCAGGGTGCCTTTTGTTTTCAAAATGCTTTTATATAACATTGTCTTATTTGGTCTTCCTGACAACCGCAGGGGTAGGTAGATAGAGTGTGAACTATAGGTCTGACTCCATTGTACCATCAGGTGGTGCTTACGCATGCTGCTGAGAAGGAGCTGAGGCTTTCTCAGCATGTGTGGCCCACAGTGCTTGCTGAGATGTGGGTGAGCACACTGTCCCAGTGTTCTTTGTTGGCTCTGTAGGCGGTGAGTTTCTCTCTGGATGGCTTGTGCAGTGTTCCAGCTGCCACCGGCACTGTCTCTGTTGCAGGTGCATCAGCGGGTCATGGAGTGCATACGGGTGTTGCAGATCCTGCGAGATGTCACTGGTGGGCAGACAGTCCACAACATCTTTCCTGGTGGATTGGATCTGATGACCTTTAAGGTAGGACAGCAACTGGTATGACCTGAGCACATGTATCCATCAGGACTTTCTCAGTTACATGTAACAGGAACCTACCGAACTAACTAGCTTAAACCAAAAGAGCATTTACTGGCTCAAATAACTAGGAAGACCAAAGACAGACTGGCTTTTAGCCAGTATAGTTGGACCCCATGTCTCAAACATTACCATCAAAGCTCTGGCACTCCTCTGTGGGTTTTATTCCCATCAGAATAGTTACTTGCAGGTAGCCCAAGCCTACATTTCAGCTCTGCTCCAGGTTTAAAAAGAGACTCTGCTAGCTTCCACTAATCTGGGGACGGCTGTGGCCCTGCTTGGGTCGCGTGCCCTTTCTGAGACAATCACTGTGCCAGAGGGATAGGGTAATCTGATTGGCCTGCCTTGGTTACACACCTGCTTCTGACATCCCCACAGGGACACATAGATAAGGGAGAGGTGGTCCCTGCCCCAAAGGAAGGTCTTTCTGGCAGCAAAGAACCTATGTTCCCTGCAGGCTAATTCCTTTCTTTGAAGGAACCCCAAGTATCCCCAAGAGGATAGAAACTGCCTTGGCAGCTTGGTACCAATTAGGTACATCTTCCTCCCCAACCCAGTCTTTTCACCTCTAATTTCAAAAGTAGCTCAGGCTCTATTTAGAGAACTAAGAAATCACACAAAAGCATAAAGAAAAAAGAGAATTCTTTTGACATTTTGATGTTTGTCCTTCCAGTTAATGTTATTTCACATAAGCTGTTTTGTGGCCTTTTTCTTCACTTAGCAAATATGTATAAAATAACAGTTACTGCTTTATGAGCACTTACTATGTACGAGCCCCTCACACAGATGTACACAGGAAGCATTATCACCTCTTCACACAGAAAGAAACCAAAGATGAAAGAGGCTAAGTATCTTCCCAAGGATACACAACTAAGTAAGTGGTAGAGTTACAATTTAAATTGGGCCTTTTGGATTCCAAAGACTGTGCTGTGTGCTGCCCCAAAGCCTCTTTAGAAAATATCTTTTAAAGGCTCTGGTAAAGTCCTCCAGGGAGAAGCATCTGTCTGGGTGGCCAGTAGGTAAGGCAGAACCTGAAAGCCGGAGCGCTTTACCGGCCCCCACTGGAGAGGCAGGGCCCCCAGGCACTGAAGCCCAGGCCTGCGTGCATGTGAGCCTGAGACAGGCATTGGGAAATGGCAGGCCACAATATGGTTGGATTAGTTAAGAGGTAGCCTTTTGGAGAAATACAGAGTAAAAAAGGCTAAGTTAATTTTTACCTATGAGATTGAGTAAGATCTGAAAATTGAGTACTCATTCTTGTTGGCAAAGCTATGGGGAAGTAGATACATTGCCTGATAGAATACAGATTGCTCCATGTGAGGCAGTTTGGCAATAGCTATTAGTGGTACAAATGTACATATTTTTTGATCCAGCTATTTCCAGTTCTGGAAATTTATTCTACAGATACTTGCATACATGAAATATGATATATATACAAGGTCATTCATTCCAGTGTTGTTTGTAATAGCAAAAGACTGACAGCATTCTAAATGTTTACCGAGAAAGGAACTAGTTTAATAGATTATGGAACAACGGATGTATTCATTTGGGTTATACTAATTGCTGTAATACATAAACCCCAAATCTCAGTGGCTTAACACAATAGAAATTTATTTCTTTCCCACATGAAACCCAAAATGGGTGCTCCTCTGTAAGGGTTGACTCAGGGATCCAGGCTCCTTTTATCTTACAGCTCTACCCTCTCCCACTTGTGAAACGCAGCTTCACTGTGTACATTAAGCCAGGAATGGGAAAGGGCATGGAGATTTGTACGAAAGAGTTTGCATGCACTAGGCCTGAAGTCAAGATTTCACTTTTACTCACATTCTGTTGGCTTGTGGGTCACAAGGCCACATCTAACTGCTGGAAAATAGAGTCTAGCTCTGGGTCCAGGAAGAAGAGGAACAGGTTTGGTGATTGTCAGCTGTCTGTACCATGGTGAAATCAAATGTAGCTGTAAAAAAAAGGAAGTTCTTTATGTACTGATATTATTATGCAAAAAGGTAAGATACAATATCCCTTGCATAAAAAGAGGAGAAGTGTATTTTCATGTTTACCCATATATGTGTTAGTAAGCTCTGCAAACACACGTAAGAAATTTATCTATTTGGGGGCAGGGAGTGCGACTATGAGGAAAGGGAATGGGTAGGTGGGAGACTTCTCCGTATACTCCTGATTTTAGAGTATATTAACCTATAAAAATACCCGAACAGGCCACCAACCAGGTTGCTTATCTAGAGGCACTGAGCAAAGGGGGAGAATTTAAATATAAAGCCTTGGGATAGAAATTGGAGAAAACAAGGGTTCAGGGCGGAAGATGGGTAGCAAAGCCCACAGAGATTTCCCGAGCCCCTAGCAGACAGCTGCGGTGGCTTTTAATATAACGGTACCCTGAAGACTTGAAAGACAGCTAGAAATAGATACATGCAGAGCATGTTTGAGCGAGCGCACTCACTCTCTGCTGGATAAAAGTCAGGACAGGGATGCAGAAGAAGCAGAACCTGAGTTGGTTTCCCTACAAGCAGGTCTTGCCTCACAGCAAAGTGGGCAGGCAGCAGAAGCTCCCTGTTCTGTCCTTGGCCTGGTGCTTGCGTCATCCCGCTGGGCCGGTTTTAAGGCAGGGATCTAGAGGATGGAGAGAGTTTTAACTCTTACTGTGCTCTTAGATGGATCAGGTTGGAATCACATAATTTTTATCTATTCATTTATTCATAAATATTTGAATGTCTACTCTAGTCAGGTATTGTAGGTGGTAAAATTATAAAAATAAAGATGAAAAATGTGGTTTTTAGAATTCCTGCCCACACAAAGCTGTTCAGTCCAGGGATTGCCTGACAGGTTGCTCTCCAGTGGGCAGGTTCTTAAGAGTGCGGGGGTGGCGGGGGGAAAGCGGGGGGCTCACCCACTGAATTGTGCTCTGCATCGTTGTCTCACTGTTTCTTCTTCTTGCCCCTGAAGAATTCCTTAAAAAAGGACTCTTCAGTTTCTGACTTGGCTAAGCTGTCTGCTTTCCTCAGGGCAGCATCGACATGAGCTGCATGGCTGTAATGGGACATTCATTGGGAGGGGCCACAGCTGTTCTGGCTTTTGCCAAGGAGAAACAATTTCGGTGAGTTCCCCAGTAATGTTGTTAGCTCCACACACCATTCATGCATTCAGCACGTATTTGTTACCCAGGTACTATGGGCTAGGCACTGTTTTGCGGGCTGAGGATTCAGTGGTGAACAATAAAACAAGGTTTCTGATTTCATGGAGCTCGTGGGAGGAAACAGACTAGTAAATGAGCTAAAGGATAACCAAATCCCCAGCACCCAAGTGCAATGAAGAAAATAAAACAGGCTGATATGCTAGAGTATCTGGAAGCTTTTTTGATAAAGTGACAAGCCGAGATGCAAAAGGCAAAAGAAGCCAGCCATACAGAGTTCTACGGGAAGATCATTCTAGGCAGAGGGAACAGCTAATGCAAAGGCAGTGGAAGGCAGCTTGCTGTTATCTGGGGGAGAGCGAAGAGGAAGAGGTTAAAGAGGTGATAAGAGAGGTAAATGGCCAGGTCAGAGGGTCTTTTGGCTCAAAAGGAAGTTAGATTTTATTCTCAGTTTGATGGGAAACCGTTCAAGGAATTTAGGCAGAGAAAAAAATTATTTACATTTTAAGAAGATCCCTCTGGTTACTGTGTGAACTGTGGATTATAGCAGGACAAGACAAAGCAAGGAGGTGAGTTAGAGAGGGGCTCTTTCAAGTCAAAGTGAGAGGTGATGTTTGGCACTAGGATGGAGGTAGTGGGATGGAGAGAAGTGAATGGAGTTCAGGATATGTTCCAGAATTTTCAGGACTACATGGTGTATGAGATGAAGCAAAGAAAGGAATCACGGTATTTCATTTGTATGTCCATCATTTGAGCGAAATTGATCATCCTTTACTGAGATGGAGAAGACTGGAGGAGCATTTGCGGGGGGGTGGGGAGTTGGGGGAGGCTTATTTTAGGACCTTAGTTTTGCCCTTGATTACCACTTGGTTACTGTTGATAAAATGGCCAGATCTTTGAGCTGTGGCACCTAGGAGGCTTCCCTGACCTCCCCTGCCATGTACACGCTGGGCTCACCTAGCAACTCTTGGAATCAGGGTGCTAAGCTGTTCTGTCTCCCCTTCTTGACTGGGAGCTTCTTGAGAGCAAGAACTGTGTCATTTATCTCTATATCCAGAGCACAGGGCTATAAGCACATAGTAGTACTCCTCAATGAATGCTGAAGAAATGAAGTGCTGTTCTGTGTAACTGAAGTCAGCTGCCTGAGAGTAGATCTAGGGGAAAGAGAAGGTCTGATCCCTGCTCTCACCGAGTTTAAAATCTAGAAGGATCTTTGGCGACAGGTGAAAGTGGTCTCTATCCAAGATCCCAACTATAGGGCGTGGACCCTGGCACCTCCTTCTTGGCCTTCTGAACCTTACCCCACTGAAGGAAGACCTCTACCCCTTCCCTGACTGCCCTAAAAGCTTCTGCAAGGCAGTGCCAAATGTCTGGTTCTGTTCCAGGTGTGCTGTGGCTCTGGATCCTTGGATGTTTCCTCTGGAACGTGACTTTTACCCAAACGCCCGAGGCCCTGTATTCTTCATCAATACTGAGAGATTCCAGACAACGGAGACTGTCGCCTTGATGAAGAATATATGTGCCCTGCATGAACAATCCAGAATCATAACAGTCCTGTGAGTAAACCCCAAGGTCATGGTCTCCAGTATCCTCTCCATTCTCTAGTCAACTGCAGCTCCCTTACTTCTTTTTGGATTATCCAGAAGCTCTATCTATTATTTGAATACCTGCATGCTTCCTGAATTTCAAAATCTTACTTCCTTTACAAAAAAATTTCTTATTTGTTCTTTTTCCCCCACTTAATTCTACCTACAGTGATTTCTTCACTAGTTTATGACTTTGTGACAGGGTTTATTTGTTCCTTTCTGGAAAAACGGTATAGGGGGTTGTGTGTTGGGGAGGCAGAAGTGTGGTTCTGAGTGGACTCCAAAGATCTGTGACCTCATTTGGGAATTTTATTGGGTCTTTTGAAGACTGTGGATATGGTAGACCTTTGACATTCACAGGATAGATTTTTAGGGACCTTCATGACTATCTAAATTCAGATATCTTCCAGAAACCATCTGTATTCTGGCTAAGAGAAACCACGTTCTCTTCACATCCATCACCAGCACTATCAGATAGTTTTTCTTTCAGAAAAAATTGTTGAGTAATTTTAAGAAACATACTATGCATAGGAATTTGCCCAGAGCTCCAGGTACAGGGCCAAAGGCTCACCGACAAGTCTCTGACTTGCTCCCGTCCTGCACGTGAGCCTAACGGCACACATGCTTCCAGGATTAGTGGCCCTCTTTCAGCAAAATGACAAGTGACTGCACGCTAGACCTTTGGAATCCCTCAAGTAGTTGCAATGCCAAATCCACTGCCTAGGAAGGCTAGGGATCTGGTCAGCATCAGTGGCTTCTTCTCTTGTTCATCTCAGCCCCCACTCTCTTCCATGGGGCCAGCCCCTCCCTTTTCATGTTGATTTCATGGCAACAGAAAACTGCTTAGCAGTTTCTCTAGCCAGTCAGATTCAGGATAATTGTGACCGCTGGAGGGAAGGGAGGTGCAAGCAGTTGGGAATGATGTATTGCTTCTCAAACTGAGTGGTGGACACTAAAGTATCCACTATATTCTTCTTTTATTTATATTTATATTTTTGCTATATATTTATGCTTTTTCATGTGCCTTAAAAAATACATTTTTTAAAAGTTAGGGTTTGGGGTTTTATTTTTTTTCTTTTGCATAGTATCAAAGTTTAGCATTTAGATTTTCCTTTCCTCATCAATCTGACTAGCAATTTTAGTTACAAGTAATTTAGCCCAAAATGAACCTAGTAAGAATTTTACCTTTGTATTAAATGTATTTGATATCAAAGGACTTAAATTCTAATCCAGAAACCCTCTTTTATAAGCACTTGCCCTCACTTAAATTCCTTTTTCCTGTTTATTTTTTGGTACATTCGTGCAGACAGGAGCTGACGATATGTTTTGTGAATGTTCGGAAGTCCCCACGGAAAAGCCTTGGTGCTATGGTTTATAATGACATGGGAATGGCAAGTGCTGACAAGGAATTGCCTCCTTGCCCCTGTCCCTACTCCAGCTAACTCAGCCTTTTCCCTGCACTGTCAGACATTGCGGTCTCGGGGTTCAGCCAGCTCTGAAGCCGTGCACACCTATGTTCAAATTCTAACTCTGTTCCCTTACTAGCTGTGTGACCTTGGGCAGGTCATTTCTCTCCTGGTTCTGTCAAAGGGGACAATGCTTCCCTTTATAAGGGAATATTCTTCCCTTATTGTGGAAATTAAGTGAGACACATAATACACATAAAGTACCTAGCACATAGTAGGTGCTTAACAAATATTTGTGTGCCTGAGCTTCCAGACTCCTACCATTTATTTGTTTTTCTTTTCCTCCAGTGGTTCTCTTCATCGAAGTCAAACTGACTTTGCTTTTGTGGCTGGGAGCTGGTTTGGTAAATTCTTTCAAACCTGTGGGACCTTGGACCCCTATGAAGGTCACGAGATTGTGGTGCGGGCCATGTTGGCCTTCCTGCAGAAGAACCTTGGTAAGCACAGAACTAGGGTTTGTGCGCAGCCGTGGGGTCCCTTAGATTCCCATGCACAGTGGTCTATAATGATATGTCTCGGATCAGGGAGACTTAAGGCAAAAAGAAACTGACTGAAGGAGAGAGTTACATAGAATTATAGAAAGAACACTTAGCTGAAAGTTTGGAGATCCTGACTCTGTCTTTTATTACCCAAATGGCTTTCACCTACTCATTTAACTTCTCTGAGCCTTGGTTTCCTGAGTGTAAATGAAATGTTCACCTCTCTTCCCCTGCCTCTGTCCTAAATCATTATCACTTACCTCATCTGTATTGTGGAGGAGGTTATGATGATAAATGGGTTAAATTTGTAGAAGTGCTTAAAAAAAGGCCCTGGCTGGGGTGGCTCAGTGGATTGAGTGCTGGCCCGTGAACCAAAGGGTTGCCAGTTTGATTCCCAGTCAGGGCACATGCCTGGGCTGCAGGCCAGGTCCCCAGTAAGGGGCGTGCAAGAGGCAACCACACATTAATATTTCTTTCCCTCTCTTTTCTCCCTCCTTTCCCCTCTGTCTAAAAGTAAAATAATAAATAAAATCTTTTTTTAAAAAATAGCATGGGTTATGACTAATGTCATAAATCACAGACCAGCTAAATGGCAAGGCCGTAAAGGTCTTTGGTCCAGCCTCCTGCCCGTAGGAGCTGTCCTTTCACAGTCAAGCCGCTCATGAGGTGTGCTGCCACGAGAGTCAACCCCCACCACCTCTGGAAACTAATGATTTTAAGAGCTGATACTCTAGGCTTTTGGGGGGTTCCAAGGACTAGAGAGATTCATTAATTTACCTCAGGGAAAAAAAGGGGGGTTTGCTTATGAAAGCACACCTTGCCAGGATGAGAGTGAAAAGTTGTAAGGAGCCGTGGTGGCTCACAGGACTGACTGCTCTTTCTTTCATGGGCTCAGTCTCTGTCTCTTCCCCTTCTGAACACCTCTATTTCTCTCCCCTTCTGAACACCTCTATTTCTCTCTGCTCCACTCTGCCTTTTTCTTCTTTCTACTGTGTATTTTTTTCTCTTGCTGATAACATCTGCTCATTCAGAGTTTCTGCTTTGTCAGAACTTCCTTATAACCAGCTGACATGACCACTCACAGCTTGTTCTCTCTACCCTCTGGCATCCTTCCATCTTCAGTTCCCACTGCTCACTGTCTTATTTCCTTGGATTTCTGAGACCAGATTCCCCAGACAGATAACTTGATTGTCTCAGCTCATTTTTACCTGCCAAAACACATTGCAGGCCACTGTCCAACCTAGGCCCGGAGCGCTTGTGATCAGATGTCCCTTTCTGATCCAATCAGAGTAGAGTAGGCTACCCTTATCTGCACGAGGCTGATCCCCCCACAGGCGCTGTGCATAGGGAAGTTTCCTTCAGGATGGAACTGGACAGCCTGGATGTCTACGGTCTGACAACTCTAACCTAAAACCAAGATCTGATACTTTCTAACTCCTCCCTCCTTGCCCTGGTTATCCCCTCAGGAGCTACCCAGAGAAGCCTCAGACCTTTACATGTGGCAGGCAGCTCTTTAGGTATTTGAAGCCACCTATGGTGTCCACTCTGCTGCTAAATGTCCTTGGTCCCCCACCTTTTCCCCTACAGTTCCATACATTGCCATTTATTATCACCTTTAGATGCACTGCTTGTCGGCGTGCCTTTTAACATATGGTGCCTTGAATTGAACAGGATGTGCTAGATGCAGTCTGACAATGCCTGGAACAGTGGGTCTGTCACCTCTGTGCCTAAATACTACACAACTAGTTGGATGGCCTGAGTGCATTAACGTTTCCAACAAGTGCCTAACAAATTTGGTTTGGATTGCGTTTTCAAAGCATGTCTGTCCTATTATAAAAGTGTTGACTTTTTTAACCTAAATTTGCATTTTTATATTATGCCTGTTGCCTGTTGATTTTATCTTACTTTCATCAGCCATTATACCAGCCCGGGTTTAGGGAGTTTAGGGTTAATAGAGATCTTAGAGTATCATTCTTTTTTTTTTATCCTCACCAAAGGACAGTTTTTTTTTCATTGCTTTTAGAGAGAGAGTAAGGGAAAGAGAAACATCGGTGTGAGAGAGAAGCATCAACTGGTTGCCTCTCATACGCACTCAGACTGGGAATCAAACCCACAGCGTAGGTATGTGCCCTGACTGGGAATCCAACCCGCAACCTTTTGGTTATGGGACAACGCTCCAACCTAGCCACACTGGCTAAGGCAAAGCATCATTCTTATCACCTGGTAGGAAAGGAATGCATCCATGGGTCAAGATTCTTGAGGAGCCTGACTACATAGTCTTTAGCCCACTTTCTCTGTTTCCACTTAGGCACCATGTCATTAAGTAAGAGCTAAAGATGGCAGAGGAGCCCACCATGGCATGTTTGAACTCCCTTTAGTAGCAGTGTCTGCTGAGCTAAGGTAGTCATTATTGGAGGCCACCAGAAGAGAAGATGGAAGGTAGGGAGTGTAGGAAGATTGTTGAGGACTTGCTTTATACCAGGCCTTCCACTAAGTACTTTTGTGTAATCCTGAAGACAGCTTTTTCCAGTAGGTAATTTATTATTAACTCCATTTTACAGATGACGATAGTGAAGCTTAGGACATTTCAGTAATTTATCCAGTTATGTGGTTACTAAGTAGCAAAGCCAGAATGCAACCCAGGCTGTCTTATTCCAAAGCCCATGTGCTTAATTGCTCCACTATTCTGCCAGTAACTCTGACGACCAATGATGCAGTCAGTCTTCAGGGGACACAGAGGACAGGCACCTAACTCTGACAGGAGGGAAAGGACAGCTAGAAAATGAAGCTCCCTAGACAAAGCAATGCTTGTCTTTAATCTTAACAAATGATTAGAGTTCATCAGGCAGGGAAGGGGCAAGGGTCTTCTAGAAAGAAGACACAAAGGTTTGTGTGAGTCTAGTCAGTTTTGAGAAACTGTGTTTAGTGTATCTGGAGCTCAGGATAGTGAATTGTCAGAAGATGGAGGTAAAAAATGGGTAGAAGCCAGATCTAGAAGCCCATGTATTTGCTGAAGTAAGTTTGAATTTTATTACACAGGCTGTGAGAGTCTTTGGGTTCTAAGCCAGGGAATGTCATGATTAGACTTGTATTAGCAGTCTGGTTGCATCATGGAGGATGGGCAAGATGGGGCAGGTTGAGAGGCAGAGAGCCCAGGTAGGATGCTCTTGAAGTATCTAGGTGATAGAGATAAGACAGAGTCTGAAAACAGGCGGAGGCTCTCTGTTTGGGTTCCTTAGTTTTGCAAAGAGGGAAAAGCTTCTTGGTGGCTTCACGGTACCTTTCGCCTGGGAGAGAAATGAAAATAGGTTGTAGGTGGCTCAGCTGAACCTCTCACCACTCCTAAAAAACACCCCTGAGAGCACATTCTGCCAACACAGGGATATTATCTTCCGCTGGGAAGAATGGTGCTGCTTTCATATTAACTACATGCAGTTCCTGCCTGTTCGTCCTCTCTTCCACTCGCTCTCCTGGAAGACTTTCACACCTTTCCCTTTCTCTTCAGACCCCCAGCACTTCCCTGCCTTTCCTGTCTCTCAGCTGATTAACTTTGCCTCCCACTTCACCAAGAAAAGGGAAGCAATCAGTGCTTCCTCAGAATCCGGACACTCCATCAGCCCACCTCCGTGCACGTGCTCAGCTTTCTGTCTGGTTACCAGCGTTTCCTGCTCCGTTCCCTGACTAAGGCCGACCCCTCCCTCTGCACACTAGACTTCATCCCTTTCAGTCTGCTCAAGATGGTTGTGCCAGCAACTCTTTTCTCTTTACTTTAGATCATCAGTTTTTTCCTCTCCACTGGCTCATTTCAGGCTGAAATTTCTCTTAAAAAATACCTCTCTTGACCCCATCAGTTGCCACCCTCTTTCCCTGTTCTCCTAACAGCAGAACTCCTCAAAAGAATGTCTGTCTTTGCTTTCTCTGCTTCTTCTCTTCCCATCCTCTCTTAAACCCCTTCCAGTCAGGCTTTTGCATGCCAGTCCTTCGTGAAAAGTGCTCTTGTCAGGGCTGCTTGTGACTTCCACAGTAAAATCCAGGGTTCCGTTCTCACTCCTCATCTCCGGGGAACTCAGCAGCTCCTGACAGGGTCGGTGATGCCATCCTTCCAAGACACCACCGTATGGGTTTTCTCCCATCTCGGTATCTGCTCCTCCTCCGTCTGCTTTGCTGGTTCTGGGGCTGAGTGCACGGACCTCTCTAGATGTATGCCCTGAGGCCATCTCCATGCTGACAAGTGTCCAGTTCATATCTCCAGCATGATGTCTTTCAATATCAGATTTATGTAACCCACTACTCAACATCTAATAAACACCACAAGCAAAAACTGGTCTCAATGGCAGTCTTTCCCCTCTCAACTAATAGTCGCTGCATCCTTCTAGTTACTTAAGCCAAAGTCCTTATTTATGTGTCTTTTCTTATACCTCCCATCCAGTCCCTCAGAAAATCCTATTGGCTTCAAAATATATATGGAATCTTATCATTTGTCATCAACCTATAACTACCATCCTGTGCAAGTCATCTCTCACCTAAATTAAAATTACTGTATTAATTTCCTAACTGGTCACCCCATTGCCACCTTTACCTCCCTACACAGTCTTTTTCTTTTTTTAATATTGCTGATTTTCATTTTTTAAGATTTTATTTATTTATTTTCAGAGAGAGGGGTAGGGAGGGAGAAGGAAAGTGAGAGAAACATCAGTGTGTGAGAGAAACATCCGTTGGTTGCCTCTCCCAGTTGGGGACCTGGCCCGTGCAACCCAGGCATGTGCCCTGACTAGAATCAAACCAACAACCTTTTGGTTCTCAGGCTGGCACTCAGTCCTCTGAGCCACACCAGCCAGGGCACAGTCTTCTTAATAGTACAGCCAAAGTGATCCTGTTAGAAGGTAAGTCAGATCTTGTCACACCTCTGCGCAGATCCTCCAGTGATTCCCCATTTTTCTAAAAGTCAAAGCCAATCTCCATTGTCCTGGTACACCAGATGGTGTGGTCTTCCAGTCCTTCCCTACCTCCCCTGCTGCTCTTCCCGTAGCCTGTTTCACTCTCGCAAGCCTCCAACATTCCAGGGACACTCTGGCTTCAAGCCTTTGTAGTGCTGTTCCCACTGCCTGGAAGATATTTCCTATATGGTCTCATGGCTCACTCCCACCTCCATCAAGTTTTTGCTCAAATTTCACCTTTCCAGTGAGGCCCACACTGACCAGCCTTTTTAAAACGTTGTACCTTTGTGCCCTGGCTGGGGTGGCTCAGTGGATTGAGTGCCAGCCTGTGAACCAAAGGACCCCTGGTTCGATTCCCAGTCAGGACACATACCTGGGTTGCGGGCCAGGTCCCCAATAGGGGGCGTGCGAGAGGCAACCGCACATTGATGTGTCCTGCTCTTCCTCCCTTTCCCTCTCTCTAAAAATAAATAAGTGAAATCTAAAAATAATTAAAAACAAAACATTGTACCTTCCCTACCTCCTCTCACCTCTGTCCCCTGGCCACCACCACTGTTTCTCTTATCTGGCACTTTTTTTCCTTAACACTTCTCACCTTCTCACATCTCATATAATTTATTGTCTATTATTATCTCTGAGTACTAGATTATGAGCTCTTTGAGGATAAGGATTTCTCTTTGATTGTCGATGGACTTTTTGGAACTAAGAACAGACTGTGGCACATCATGAATGTGCTCAGTATTTTTTGAATTAATGAATATGTAGCACTTATTTGTTGAGGACCTCTTTCATGCTAGGCTCTTTGGAGGGCACTGGGACCCAAAGATGAAGAAGAATGGGCCCTGCCTTCTGCCCCAGGTTTTGTTTGTTTTGAACAAGGACATCATTTGCCAGCTCAGCTGTGCCTTACTCCCTCAGCCTGAGGCCATGGACCCTTTTTGGCTGTTTACCCATGTAGTTAGTCCCATTTGCCCAAGGCCCCAGGGCCCTATCTTGAATCATACCCAGTGTTACGCTGCTTCATGATGCTGCCACCCTCTTCCTTCTACCCTTCACTGAGGTGGTCCTGGATTTGCATCCACTGGCTGACATGCAATGGACCTTTTCTTGCTCAGCAACATCCCTGAGCCTAGAAGTAGGCTTCCCATTTTCTTTCTTTTTTTAAAGATTATGTTTATTTACTTTTAGGGAGAGGGAGAGAAACATCAGTGTGCAAGAAATGCATCAGTCGGTTGCCTCTCACATGCCCCCAACCAAGTATCTTGTCTGCACCCAGGCACGTGTCCTAATTGGGAATCGAACCAGCAACCTTTTGGTTCGTAGCCTTGTGTTCAATCCACTGAGCCACACCAGCCAGGGCGGCTTTCTATTTTTTCACCCTTTTTGACCAAAGTATGAATTCTGTCTCTGTCACTTACCCAGTGTAATGACCTTGGACAAATCAGATAGCTTCTTTGAGCCTCAGTTTCCTCAAATATAAAGTAGGGCTAATAACAGTACTTAACTGATTGGAATATTATGAAAATTAAATGAAGCAGTACATGTTAAATACAGCTCCTACAATGAGTTATTCTTCAATAAATGTTACTTTTTGTTACTATCATTATTGAGTTTTTGTGGATTAAGCAAGTCATTTATGAAGCATCTTTATAAAGGCACTGAATGAATAATAGTTAGCATTACTTGCTACCGCCATCACAACCAGTCTGTCTGGTACTCTCTGTGCTCCTCTCTCTAGAATGGCCCATTAAATCTGTGGTAGGTACTCTTTGATCTAACCTTACAACGATTTACCTACCCTTCCTGTTTGGTTTTTTTTCAGACTTGAAAGAGAACTATGACCAATGGAACGACTTCATTGAAGGCATTGGACCATCACTCACCCCCGGGGCTCCACACCATCTGTCCAGCCTTTAGACACAACTGACCGTTTATAAAAGGTCACAAATGGGAGAGAAGCTGAGCTGAATTCCCATTTGGTGTCTACCCATGACCTCCTATCAGGAGGTGGTCGTCGTGGTCGTGGCCCTTCTTTACAAATCGAAAGGAGATCATCACACTGCTGATTAGATAACTGGGCACTTTGATCTTGGACTAGTTGATCCTAAATTCATGGTAGGGCCTGGATCACTTACTGATTGGCACACTGACTTTCTGGGGCCTGAGCCCTGATGGTTTAGGCAACAAGCAGCAGGGTGGGGCTGGGAAGCACCCAAGCCCTAAGATGAGCACTCTGAGTACTACTAACCTAGCGAGCTGACGCCCTTGCCTTGGGCCAGTGTGGCTTTTGCAGTGGAGAAATGAAGCCAAAAGATGGAGTGAAAATTTCTACCTTCCAGACCTTTAGCCTAAATGGGCACCCTCTCTTCATACCTCTTAGCCCTCTCTCTCCCCAGGGCCACTTGGTAAGCTCTCAGCATTTGATGTAACTTGCTAGGATATGGACCATCATCAGATTTTCTGCTTTTTTTCAAGCCTTCTTAATGCACCAAACATAGTCCTCGGCCCTTAGTGTGGGCACTATCCTTGTGAGCCCACAGAGGAGAACAGACAGCATTGTCCTCATAGCATAGGGAGAAAAGCTGAGGTACCGAGTGGGGGGCCTCAGAAGCTCTGAATGTCTGGGAGTTGTGCTAAAAATGTATCTTGACAGAAGTAGGTTGAGTTGGAGAAGATAGAAAAGCAGCATTAGGCAGGCATTTGAACAGGCCCTTGCCACAGAGGGAGGTAGTACAGTCAGCCAGAGTTCAGGAGGCCACCCCTGCGGAGGTGCAGGAATACTTTGATCTTGCCTTTTACCTTCTTACCTCAGATGTCATGAGCCGCCAACTTGCTCAGAATCCGGGTGCTGCGAGTCATCTATGTTTTCTGCCTCTGAGGCCCTAGCCCAAATTTAAGTCAAGATATAGATTGAATTTGTATTCTGTTCCATTTATAATATGCATGATATTAATACTCATGTTTGCCTAATGAAATGTTGGAATATTCTCTATTTAATCTGCATTAGAGCAAGATGAGGAGCCATCTGGAAGTAACTTCTCCTTCTGTCTTTCTTTGTTCGCTTACTACTTGTGCCGTGTGGAAAGAAACTTTAAAAGGAAAGGAAGCCTTCCTGGGGATCTAGTTGAAAGCTGTCTGAGAAGACCAACCTGAAACACCTCTTGCCATTACTCTAGACGTCTTACCCTAGTTCAAGTAGAGGACCCCAGAGAAGGCAGGATTGAAAGGGAAATGCATCTCCACACAATGGGTCCAAGGTCAGTGCCACCACCACAATCTGGGACTAGGTCTCCCACCTCTCAGCCATTGTTCTAAGAGTTGAAACTTCAGGTCCATGGACGCTGTGAACCTTGGGAGGATCTGTGAATTCCAGGGAGACATAGGGTAGAGAGAGTATCATTAAAGCCCTGGGCACCAGAGTTCTATAGGCTGGTTTTGAGTCCTGTTTTCACCGTGGCTAACTGGGTAAATTTGAGCACATTGCATTCTCTTTCTACTTCTGGTTCCTCATTTCTAAGATGGAGATCTGCATTATGAATAGTTAAGAGGATTAAGTGAGAGGATGTATATGCCTATAGACTATTTAAAAATATGTTTCCTACTTTCCAAATATACAAGATTTTTCCAGTTATTCTATGGCTGTTGTTTTCTAGCTTAATTGCTTTTGGTCAGAGAAAATGACTCATACAGTTTTTATCCTGAAATTTGCTTGTTGGTCCAGTGTGAGGTCAATTTTGTAAATGTTCCTTATATGTTTAAAAAGACTATGTTCTGAAGTTGTTGGCTTACTCAACAACGTGATGGGTTTTCTTCTATGAGGGTGCAGACAGACATGTAACAGGGCCTTCCCATCCCCAACTGAGCCCTTCAGCACTCACAGAAGCAGTAGATGCCGCCCCTTACGCCTGGACTCATTCTATGCTGAGGTTCGGGCATCTTTAGCATGTGAGACCCAACTTCATTCTACCTTAAACCTATACATGATACATGTGTTGTAAAGACTGGGAGCCTCCCTGGAGAAAGAAGTTGTTTGGAAACTGAATGTATCACTCATCCACTTCAGTTCCTACTCTGGCAGGGACTCATTTATCTGGCAATATCAGAGTATGTGAATTTTCCCTGTAATCAAAAATTATCCTTTGAGCCAAAAAATATAACATTGACTCTTTTCAATGGTAATTTACCAAAAAAGATAATGCATATACTTCTTAATGTGAACTGACCTCATTTAACTTCTTAGGATGTTTCAGTCAGGACAGACTAGATTATATGGTAGTAACATGCAACCCTGAAAAGCAACAGAAGTTTCTTTCTTGCCCATGCTGCTTCTCCTCTGTTAGTCAGCTGGAGGCCCTGCTCCATGTCATTTTTATCTTAACTTGGGGACTCAGGCTGGCAGAGCTGCCACGATCTGGAAGTGCTGGGAGAGAGCATGGTGAAACTTTCTGCCCAGAAGTGACACTGATTATTTCCATCCACATTTCATTGGCCAAAGCAAGTCATCTGGCCATACCTAACATCCCATCGCATCCCAAGAGAGCCAGAATATCTGTGACCGGGCCTAATGTCAGAGCAGTGGCACCCTCCGGGCTGTGAAGATATGGATGACTATTTGCATCTATGCTGCATGGCCCCCAGCAGCTGTCCTCTTAGTCCTTTGATTGCGTTTCAGTTTGTATTGTCTCCCTTGTGGTCAGGCGGCCAGCCATTATTCTTCATTGCCTTTAACATGCCAGCCCCTAGCAGCTCTCCCCATTCACTTCAGAGCTATTACTTCTTATCAGTTACGTCATCTACCACCATCTAAAGTAAAACCAGGTAGTTACTGAGAGAGGTCTTCAGGAACTCTCCTGCAACTAAAATGTACTGCCTTTGGTGCTTGGAATTTGTAACCCTTCCTTTCACTGATCAGAAGGGGTATAACAAGGTTTTTGGCCCTTTGCCCTGGTTTTTGGTGAGCTTCCAGAGACTCAAAGGTCACCAGATAAATGGCCTTTAGATAGGCAAGATAATCCTGCATATTAATTGTCATGTACTGATCAACTGCTTGCTAGTGTATCCTTTTGAGAAGCAAGGATGTCTTGGGTGTCTTTTGCATCTTATTCTCACCCCATTATAGAACTGTTCTCATGGAGGCCTCCTAGTGGTATATTGTAAAGTTTCTGTGAAGGGAATGGTGCATCAGTTAGGGAGGGAGGTGAGTAAATAAACACAGGATGGAATGAGATTCCTCATCCCTTCCACATCCTGGGAGCATCAGGCTGAGGCTCCTAACACAGTCCCCAAGCCCCTTTCTAGTGTGTGTCCTGACACAGCTGCCCCCTTACTCTTCCTCAGGAAGTCTGGGCTCTTGAAATGACAATTGATGGATTCCACCTTCATGTGTTGGCCTTGTGGGGACCTTTATCTGCTCCCTTTGTCTTCTGGGGCACCCCTTCCCCTTGGCCTACAAAGTGATAGAAGGACAAGAGAGGCCACACTCTGCACTTGGGACCTGGTCCTTATTAAGAAACTCACTTTCTGTCCCTTCACAGCCAGATGCAAAGGCCAAGTGTCCCTGGCCATAGCTGCATGGCAAAAGGACGACAACGACTATGATCATGATGATCACTGTAATAACCAACATTGATTAGGCCCTTATTACGTGTCAGGGACTGTGCTCAGTGCTTACACGCATCATCTCATTTGCTTTTTACAGTAACCTCAAGAGGTCAGGTGGTATGAGCCTCATTTTGTGCATGAGGGAACAGCCGTACAGAAGTGATTGGATCAAGCTCTCACAGCAAGATTTTGGCAAAGCTGGGATTTAGGCATCAAAATCCAAGCTTTTAATCACTGGGCAGTCCTGCCCTAAGGCACATTCTTGGTTTTGCCCATAACCCTGTCTGTTTAAACTGTCAGGGTATAAGGAATATCATTTCATGATAGATGGAATCAAGAATGTCAAATTCTCTGGCAATTTCTATATGAATTGCATTGAGAGTCAGTGAGATTTTTAGCGCTACTGAGGAGTGGGTTGGAGAGAATTGAGCTTCACTTAGGGCTGTGGGTCAGATGCTCTGTTGATTTGATAGATGAGGAAAGCAGTTCAGGGATTAAGAACATGGTCTTTGAAATCAGATAATTCCTATTTTCCTTGTGATTTATGCTAATTAACTTATATGAGCTTCAGTTTGCTCATTTGTAAAATGGAAATTTTAATAGCATTTATCTCTTAGAGTTGTAATAATTGAAATAATGCATGTAAAGAATTTAGCATGGTGTCTATCCCAAAGGGTTATTAAATATTACCTATTTTTACTAGCATTGTTTTATTTGATCTCCTTACATATCTATAAGATGAGATAAAATTTGCTCTTGCCCTCAGCGGCCCCAGATGGTCTTGGTCTAAGTTCTTATTCCAGCTTCTGTTTCACAGTTAGTTCCCTCACATGAAGTCTTCTGTCACTCAACTACGACCGTTGTGTGCGGGTGGAGCTGGATGAAGAGAGAGTTTTTCCATTCCATTTGCTCTCATTTCCCTGCTCTTCCCATCAAAGATCAAAATCCACACCATTGTTCCAGTCTTGTAGGCTTTCTTCACCACCAGGAAAAGTCTGCACTCTTAGATTCTGGTTTGGGTTTTAATTTCACACATGATCATCCAGACGCACATGTCTGTGCACCAGAAGTAAACCGAAGGCCCTAAAATGGTGAATGGGAGAATCAAAGGAAAAAGTGTGTGTAGCCATTGGCCAAAGGGAGAAGGCCCTGAGGATTGGGAATTTATATAAGGACTAATTGTGTTAATTTTTGTCTGCTGCCTCTGAGACAGGGAGGGGAGAGGGTAAAGTGCCCAATGACCTGAGGAGAAACTTCCCAGGTGTGAGATAAAATCCACAAATGACCTCTGCAGAGCTCTCTCCCTCACTGTCATTTCTGATTTCCTGCCAAGTTCTATTGTTTCTCCCCACTTGTTGGTTCTCACTCCTAGCCCATCCTTTCCATTTCATTTGAGTCAAGTCCTTCCCATCACCTCACCCCTGTAATCATTTTTACAGCCTCCTGGACCCTGATTTCTCCTTTCCACTGCATTCTGCTGCCAGATCTTCCTGAAACAGCACTCACATCAAAATACCAGCCTGGCAAGGCCGTCTAATGGAAAGAACAAACTGACTGGAGCCCTAGGATCTTGTCCCAACTCTCACAGTCTCTCAACCTATGACCTTGTGTATATGCTTTTCCTCTCATGACCTCTGTTTCCCTAACTATAAATTTGGATACAGGGTGGTCCCTAAGGCCTCTTCAGTTCTGGCATTTTACCATCTCTGTCACTAAGTTGTCAAGAATCTATAGGACTTCCTTCTTCCAGTATGATTGCATCTCACCCCCTCGTTCTGTCTGGCTTTGCTCCACTTCTCTCCTGGGCTGCTTCCCAGGCACTCTGCTTTTTCCACAGGCCCTTTCATATGCCCACCCATTCCCCAAGCAAACACGCATGCCCTTTCTCGCGATCTTTTCCTGCTTGCAGGGCCTTTCCAGCCTCCTCTCTGTATATCCAAATACTGCTAACCCTTAGGCCCGTTTCTGTTCCACCTCTTCTGTGAAAGCCTTTTTGATTAAATTCAACTAACATTTGATCTCTTGGCCTTCTGCTTCCCAAGAGAAATATATTCTGTGCCATATTTGGTATTGTACTTTATTACATTATTGCAGGAGCAGGGCCCATCTGTTGGACAGGGAAAAGCATCCTCCTGTTGACCGGCATGGGGAGCAGTGATCACTTTGCCCCCCCTCCCCATCAGCAGGCTTCTTGTTCCCCAGCCAGACTTGGGAACAGCTGGTATTCGCCCAGCCTTCTGATGTCCCCAGCTGCCCCTGCTTCCCCTTCCTTTGGTTTTCTCAGGTCCCAGCTGTGGGGCCCTGGGCAGAACCACCGGTGATGCAGCCGAGGGCAGCCAGAGCAAATGAGAGGTACATGGACATGTAACATTGAGAGTTAGAAGGCGGGCAGAACTGAGCACAAATCACACCAGTGTTGAAAATGAGGGAAAGCAGTTTGCCAGCTTATTTTTCCCATCTTGCTTTCATCTAAAAAAAGAAGCTCAGAAATACAGTCCTCCTCAGTCTGCTAAGCCAGGTGGTCTCTAGATTCCTGCCAAGTGCGCATATATAATTATTCATCTTTATGGAATCACATCCAGGTCTGAATCTAGACACTGACTTCTTTCTTTTTTTCTTTTTTTGCCATTTTTTTTTTAAATCCTCACCCAAGGATATGCTAATTAATTTGAGAGAGAGAAGAAGGGAGAGAGTGAGAAACATCCATCAGTTGTCTCCCGTACGTGCCCTGACTGGGGATCAAACCCACAACCTGTGTATGTGCCCTGACTGGGAATCAAACCCAAAATGTTTTGGTGTACAGGACAACATTCCAACTAACCGAGCCACCCAGCCAGGGCACTTTTTTGCCATTTGGTCTGGAACCAGTGAATCCTTGAGCCTTTGTTTCTTCTTCTATAAAATGGGGTCACTAAGAATATCTGCCTCGCCCTCTCAATATTTGGGGGGATTCCATGTAAGATGTAAGACCACTTTGTAATTCATAAAGTATTGGACAAACATATATTGCTATTAAAAGTAAATGTGCCATATTTTATTTTTGCTATAGTGTGCAGCTAGTTAATGAGCACTTATTTTGTGCCAAATACTGTGCTAAGTATTTTACATACATTTCAGGTACACTTAATCCTCACAACATTCCTGTAAGATAGTGTGTATAGTGTGTCTTATGCCCTTTCAACAGATCAGGACAGTGAGGTTTGGAAAGATTGGCGTTGGAGCCTGGATTTGAACTTAAACTGCTGGGTTCCAAAGTCGGTGCTCATAATTCCTGTCCATTCCTGTCTCACAAAAAGAAAATGGTTCTTTACTCTATGTAAGCTAAAATAACCCACAATGTAATCTCCAATAAATGCCCTACACAGCTGGGTCATACAGAGAGTCATTTTTGTTGAAGACCTCACTGAGTCCTGAGTCCGTCCATCCATCCATCCATCCATCCATCCACCTACCTCATACAAAGTTAACAGTTAAGGGAACCAGTCCGTTAGTAATGTACTGTATAAACCATGGAGCCAATCAATGGGCAGAATTATTTTTTTTAATCTCTAACTCACATACTATAGATTAGTGATTCTCTGCTCCAGTTGCACATCAAAATCACTTGGAAGCTATGTAAAAATACGTCCTGGCCATGTCTCCAGAGACACAGAGATGCTGATTCAGAAGGTATCGGCCCAGGGGGGTGTGTGTGTGCGAGAGAGAAAAGCTCCAGAGGTATTCCTGATATGCAGCCAATACAGGAACATTTGCTATGATTTAAAACCATTAGCCTATTTTATGAACAAGAGTTTGCGAGCTGAAAATACATATGGGTCCAGCAGAAGTAACGCCTGCTTGAGTGGTTAGTATGGTATGTGAATGTCTCACACAAGATGGACAGCAATTTGGACATATCACCTAAAATGTCATATGGTGTGTGTTAGTGTGATAGTTATGTTACAGAATTACATGCTTATGATTTTGTAATAAAAAGGGGGTGTCATTTGTGCCAGACCCTGTATACAATCATGACATTTTAGACTTGGGAGAGTCCTTATGTCATTTGGTCTACAAGGAAACCAGAGCTTAGAGAATTTCAGCAAGTATCTGGCAAACCTGAACTAAAACTCAGATCTTCTGCCTCCAGTCTAGTGTTTTAGATACATCCATGGGCACCAGGGTTTTGTTGGATGACAAAGAAAATCCTCAGGACCCACTCACTGTGACATCCCTGATTTCCAGAAAGCGATCACACTTTGCAGTTTTTGTGTAGGGAGGAAGCCTGGCAGGAAGGCCTGTGAGAACCTACTGGGATGGCAGTTCTCATGTGTGTTCATTCATTCTACAAGCACTCATTGAAGCTTATACTATGGCTGGCACCATCCTCATGCAACTGAATCTAGAGGGCAAGAAAGGCAAGTCAGCAGGGGCTGTGGATGAGTGTTGTTACAGGACATACATGAGGCTCAGAAGTGGCATAGGGTGCATTCAACTTCAGCAGAGTAAAAGGGCTTCACAGAGTATCATGTACTGGACCCAGGTGTTTGTAGTAGTTATCTGTTGCTGTATAATAAATTATCCCAAAATTTAACAGCTTAGAACAACAAACATCTCATACTTTCTGTGGCTCAGGAAATCGAGTGCCTCAATTGTGTGGTTTGGCTTAAGGTCTCTCATGAGGTTGCAGTCAAGATGTCAGCTGGGATGTCTGAAGACTTGACTAGGACTGGAGAATCCGCTTCCAAGCTAGCTCACTCTCATGGCTGTTGGCGGGAGGCCTCAGTCCCTTGACACGTGGAGCTCTCCATGGGGCTGCTGCTGAAGACAAGGCAGCTGGCTTCTCCCAAAGCAAGTGATCCAAGAGAGTAAAATGGAAGCTGTAACGTCTCGTATGACCCATCCTGGGAAGTCATACTCCATAATTTCCACAATATCCTATTAATACACAGGTCAGGCCTGTTAAGTGTGGGAGGGGACTAAGCAAGGGCATGAATACCAACCAGGAGGTGGAGCTCGTAGGGACCATCTTGGAGACTGGCTCCCATAGTATTGAAGACAAATGGAATTCCAGATGGACAAGAGAGAAGAAAGGTATTCCCGACAGAGGAAATACCGTGTAAAGCCACTGAAATAAATAAGGCAAGTGAACAGGGCATAGCATGTTCAGGACATTGTAACTGTTTTTGAAAACACGTGAAAAATAAGGATATAGGAGAGTTTACAGAAGAAATCAGAGTCTTCTATGCCAAGTGCGTGAGTTAGACCTTACCAGTGGTTTTCAAATGTTCCTACATATTGGAATCACCTGAAAAGATTTTAAAACTTCCAGTGCCAAAGCTACACCACTGTCAATTAAATAAGAATTTCTGGAGGTAGAACTGGATATCTGTAGTTTTAAAAGTTGCTCAGATGACTCCAGGGTTGAGAACCAGCAATACAGGCAACATGAAGTAACTGAAAAGCTTGAAGCAAGAGAGTCATGTGGTCAGACTTCCAATCTCCTTGGGGAAGAGGGAGTATAGCTACACCTTCCTTCTCTGCATGCCTAGAAAACCAAATATGAAAGGCCCTATGATCTGGACTCACTTCCTCACTTACGTATTGTAGGTTACCATCTCTACTACCAAAAAATGAGCAGGAATATTTAAAGTTTAGCAACCCCAAGTAAGTTCCCAGCATCCTAAATTACCTATTATTTTTAAATTTCCAAGCCTAAGGTTAGTGCCAACATTCTTATATCAACATAACCACTCTTGAGGGTTTTCTTTTCCACTTAATGCTTTCATTTCTCTATTCGTGGTTCTCACATCCAACTACCTGAGGTCGTAGAGTGTAAAGGACAGGGCATGGCCTTCAGAGTCAGATGGACCCCTGGATCTGAGTCTTGATGTCATCATTTACTAATTAGTTGGGTGACTTGACGTCTTGGGACCTCAATTAACGTCTGAGAAATGGCTATAATACTTACCTTGGAAGGTGTCAAGGATATGACCTGAGACTATGCGTGTCAAGACCTCTGCCCAGGACCTGGTACATAGTTAATGCTCAATAAATGTTAGTTATTCAGCATTCCAGATGACATTCATTGTTTTGTTGAATCAACACCCACCTTCCACCCCACGGGTCTGCTTAGTAGTTCTTCCCATTGCCAAACTATTAGAGCCATTTCTCATTGTTTTTAGCTGTAGCTACATTATTATGTTATACATTATTCTTTGCATGAATTGATGAGACTTAAAAGTTGTTTCCCTAATTTTTCAGTTGTGGGAATGGAAGATTGGAGAGGTGAAGTATCTTTTCAAACAAAATTCATAGAGCTTGTTGGTGGCAGAGCCAGGACTAGGGCCCAGGGCACAGGTACTCTGAGTCTTGGCCTTATGTTCTCTCCACCATGCCACGCAGCCCCCGTACTCACAGGAGACTTGAAGACTGGCCCTTCTCACCTTCTTTTCCTCAGGCTGAATGATTCAGATCTCCCATTGTGTCCTCTGACATTTCTCCCACCCTTTCATCATCCTAGAGTTTCGTCATCAATCCAGTATAATTGGAGCAGAATCCCTGCTTATCCCCTAGAGGGAGGGGGAGCAGACAGTAACTAATGCTTTGGAGATCTGGACTCATCTTTGGTGCTTCTGGATCGCTGTTGGTTGATGTTGTGCTGTCAGATGGGGATGGGAATCTTGTCTGGCTCAGACATACCCTCCCTCCCACCTGAAATGCTGTCTGACTTAATCAGATCCACCTTCCCAGAAAAGTAGCATTTAAAGGGACCATAGAGATCATTCTCTCACCTAGCCCCTGCTATTTAAAAAATAACTGAGGCTCAGCGATGAAGATTGATCAGTGGCCAATGTGGGATTGGGACCCAAGCCTCCTGACTCCCATTGTGGTGTTGGGGAGAGGCCACTGGAGCCAGGCAGGTCTGGGGATACCAGCTGCATGAACTTGGACAAGCGAATTAAATGATGCCCAATCTTCCATAAAATGGTAATACCCAGCTCAGGATTGTTATAAGGATGAAATGAGATAACTAATGTAGAGTGTGGAGGACTGTGCTCAATAAATGGTAGTTATTCAGTAGGCTGCAGTGGTTAGGAGTCTGGGCTCTGGAATCAGAGATGGTTCAAAACCTAGGCACCCACTTACTACAAGCTGGGTGATCTTAGACAACCTATTTAAAAACAGCTAATATTGAATTTATTCTAGGCATTAATCCAAGTGCCTTAGAAATATTATTCCATGTAACTTTCCCAACAATTTAGGAGGAGAAGGTACTGTCAGTATCCTGATTTTATAAGTGAAGATACATATACTGAGGCATGGATCAATTTAGTAATTTTACTTCACTTTCCTATTGTTTTTCCTGATTATTCTCTAGTTTGAATTCTTTCTGCCAAACATCCACCTTCTCTTCCTCAATGCTTAGGAATTTTCTCCTGATTTGTGAACTTTGGACAGGCCGTAGTTTCTTCAACACCCCCTCACCTCTTCTCTTCACCGAGCTCTGCTCCGCCCCTCTGTGCCAGCGTGGCCACTGACTCTCTTCCTCAAGAAATCTGCCTGCAAGCCTGTGCAAGTCGCTCCAGCATCTTCTCTCACCTGCCTCCAGACAACTCCTGGAGCTGTTCCTCAGGCTTGTCTGTTTCTCTTGTCTTGGTGTTATCTTCTGTTCAGTCTGTGTTGTGCACCCTGGTTCTCCCTTAACACAAGGACTTCCTGAAGGACAAGTGTCCCTGGACAATTCAATACAACCAACATACCTGATTTTGTCACCTCTGGACCAGGTGTTGGGTACGGGCCCAATTGTTAAACCAGGCTGACAGGTCATATATCATGCACCCCTTCTTGCATAAGAACAAAACTTGGATTTCTTACCCAAATTATGTAAGTATGAAAACATGAGGGTCAGCAAACATGTGGAACTGGAAACTCCAATACTCCTTTGGTGGAACAGCAGCAAACCACTTAACTTTAAATATCTGGATGGTAGTAAATTAGGAAACACCCATGTTATTAACAAAACATGAAATAACCAGTGTTTTAAGATTTAAGTGCTTCTTTTGTCTGGTTGGCATAAAGGATATGTGCTTTTTTTTCTCTTTCTAATCCTTGTACTTCTATCTTTTCTACTTTTTTATGAGGAAAAAACTTATAGATAAAAGCTAAAATAATAGCACAAAGAACACCTGTAAATCCACTACCTGGATTTAATAATTTGGAGACTCTTACTCGAGCAGTTTATAAAATGTCACCTTCACAGGTCTCTTGGGTTAGTTCTTCTGTTTCCTGTATCCCATTTTCTTCCTGGGATTCCTTTTTTTATTTTTCTAGAGTATGCCTACTTTTTTGAAAGGTTGCCTAAGAGGGAAACTTGGAGTCCTC